CCTCGTATATGTAACTATATAATTTATATAAATTATGCAGGGGGACTGGGTGCTTCGACACTTTCTGCCTCCCGGACGCTCTTGGAGACAAGTGAGCGGGTGGTGGTACTGCGCTTTGTACCTGGGCGATGTAGCCGTCCCGCGGACGCCCCCAAGGCCGCCCCAGCAGGGGAGTGGGCGGGAGGCCCTGCCCAGCAGGGGCAGCATCTGCAGTCACGGAGCTAAGAGGGGGCTCTAGTCTGTGCACGGCACCGAGATGGGACAGCTGGCGGGGGCTGTCCTACTCGGAGCTCCCCCTCTCCCGGGCTCTATTTCCAAGGAAACCAGGTGAAGATGGCTTCTGGGGCCACCCTGCAAGGCAACGAAATGGGAGGCCCTGAGGTCTCTAGGAACCGTTTCAAACTCACCTCTAGCTATGGTTTTGCCTAAAACCTTTCTGTGGCTCCCAGAACAATGTCCAGACTTTTTCACCCTCAAGGTCCTCCTGATCCTGCCCTTCCTCATCCCATTCTAAACTCGAGGCTGCTTGAACCTTCCCACACACCTCATCTAACCTGATTCCTCTGCTTGGAAAGTCCTTTGACCCTCTCTGGTTATCGAACTCCTATTCTACCTTCAAAACCCACCGTTGGGAACCCTTCTCTATTTTCCCTCCCACCCAGCACAGTTATTTTTTATCCCTTATACGTGTGCAACGTAGTCCTTTTCACGTCAAGGACTAGGTTTCCTTTGATCTGGCCTGGGGACCAGGACTGTGTCTTCCACGTCTTTGTGAGTTCCCAGACAGACCAGGCCCTGGCACACAGTAGGTGCACGTAGGTTCCCCTTCAGTCCGCCTAGGGGACTCTCCCTGCAAGAAGGGCTTGGGGGGTGTGATTTCCAAGCTCTAAAGGGTGTGGGACTTGGGGGAGAAGGCCAAGGAAACGGGGGTCTGTGTGTCTGTCCGTCTGTGCTAGTGTCTCGTGATTGTGCGGGTGAGAGAGACACGCTGAGAATAACACTAATCACAATAGCGGCAGTAGTAATAGAGGTCGCTGGTGTTTCTCGGCACTCACCGTGTCCCCTGCGCTGCCACTTTCAGGTGGAGCAGGTGGTGGTGATCACAGAGCCAGTGCCGGGCAGGTTAGAGTCCCAGGTCTGCCACGATTTCACTTTTGGAAAGTCACATGACCAGCCTGACTCCGTATTCTCATCTGTAAAATGGGTTCAGAGTCCCGACCTCGTGGAAGCAATTAGCACTTCGCTGACACAGAGGGAGCCCTCCATGCCGCGTGGCCAGTGGGCAGACGCATTCTCCACGGGGGCGCGTGTGCGTGTGCGAGACAGCCACACGCTGCGTGGAGGGGTGCATGTGTGCGCTGACGCACCCCTGTGGGGGTGTGAGCGTGTGTCTCTGCCGGAGTTGGGGGCCTGCGGGGCAGGGGTGCGGGCTGCGTGTCTCTCGGTGTCAGTTGATCGGAGTTTCTGCCGAGTTTCTGCCGAGGGGTAGTTCTCCAGCAGGGGCGTCCTGTCCGGCCGAGCCCCCAGGCCAGTCTAGCCATGCCAGGCGCTCCCGCCCTGGTGACAGGGCTGGGCCGCTCTCAGTGCCATTCCGGGCTGTCCCTGCTTGATGCCAGCTCGGAGCACCCTTCCCCGCCCTGGGCTGTGTCTCCTCCTTCCCTGCCCAGCAGGCCCCCCTGGCTGGTGCCGGCGCCCTTGGGGGGGGGGCCCAGGGAAGGAAGGAGAAAGGCCTGGGGGTGGGACCCTGAGGCTCCCGCCACTCCTGGCTCGGTGCCTACGGGGACTTTGAATGCGTCTGGGCGCTAGGGGGCAATGTGTCTGTTCCAAAGAAACTCGGCAGGCCCCGTGCAGGCGAAGGCACACACAGGCGACAGGCAGGGCGCCCACACCGTGAGGCGCACACGGCGGCTCACCCCCGGGCACAGATGGGCACGGGCTGGGGCACACGCCCTCACGCTTGCACACAACACGGACACGCTTGAGCAGAGGTGCAGGCACACGAGGGGCGAGGCGGCTGCTCGCACGTCACGCGCGCCCGAGGCTCATGCGCAGAGGAACATGGGGTTCGGGGCCACACGCACACACACACACACACGCACACACACACACATGCACACACACGCGTGCAGAAACGCACGCAGATGCCCTGCAAGCCCCACGCGAGCGCAGTCACGCCGCACGACGTTCGCAGTGTTAAAGAAAGGTGAGCCGGCCCCTCGGCCTGGCCAGAAACACAACTGGGCCCAAACTCTCCCTGTCTCAGACGCTCCCACACCTTGTGCGGCTGACTCTTGGAAAGAGCCCCAGAAAAACACTCCCACACCCCCTCTTCCTGGAGTGCACGGAATTATTCCACAGGAAACCTGCCCAGGTGTGCCGGGGACCCCTGCCCAGCCCTTGTGTGAAGTCATGCCTCAGCCCGGCCCGCAGGCCAGGCGGGTCTGCAGACTGCGGCCTGTAAGCCACTCTTCCCACCCCCGCGCCCCCAGGGCCCAGACAGGACCCGCCTTCGCTATTTCCTCCATGCTCCGAGTCGGGCTCCTCACATAGGGCTGCGCTGAGGCGCCCCAAGCCAGCGCTGGCTGTGTGACCCACTGTCACTGACTGCTCAGGCCTTTGCCCACGCGGGGCTCCCTCCTGACAGCCATTCCCCCATCGGCCCCCTTGCCCGGGAGGTGCAAGGTCCCCCTGCTCTGGCCTGCGGGGTGTGGGGCCCTGCAGCCTGGAGAGGGGTCCCCGGTCCTAGCCAGGCCTTCCTTTCTTTGTGCCTGCATCAGCAAGGCCTCAGTCTTTTCTCTGGCTCCCACTTTCCTGTCACTTTGCTAAGTAATAATTTCCATGTCCAATTCCATTTCTTTTCTAGTTCTGAAACCTCTAAGCTATCAGCAAGAGGATAGTTCACATGAAAACTAATTACACAAAATCAATATTTAATCACAGACCAACAACCTGATCCTGCAGAAAAATCCTTTAAAAACTCCGCCACCCTGTACAAATACTTCTTCCCCATGCTTATTTATGGACCCCATTTTTGGTGGGGATAATTTTCATTTTTAATTTCAAAAAGAAAAAATATGTATATATCTGTAGACATCTACAACAGGGAGGCCCTGGGAAGGGCCTTGCATCTGAGCTTGCTTTGGCCTTCTGAGTTTTAAAGTTGTTGGTTTTTATTATTTGTTTTTGTTTTTATTTTTTTTTTATTTTGGGGGGGCAGGGTATTTTCTTCCAAACTCCCTGTAGACTGTGCTTCCTGTCCTACTCTCTCAAATTTGAGCCAGTCTTCCAGGCATTTGGGGGTCCCAGATACCTCACGCTACCTTCGGGGAGCAATGAATCTGTACCCTCGCCGTGGTAACTTTTTAATTCCCTCCAGCGACGGTGGAGTGCTTAATCTAAGGTTTTTAAATAAAAAGGGCTCAGGGGTTGCGTTTTATTATAACGTTTATTTCATTTCAGATTTCATGCGCAATTTAGCAAATGCTAGACAGACTTGGGCGATAAACACTTTCTTTTGTGGGGGGAAAAGGCATTTTTATACACCGTGTTTAATTTTATTTAGATTTAACAGCGATATCGGGCCACTTCAAAGAAAGTTCCTTTTTCGCCCCTTCTCCTAAGAATGCTGGTCTGCTGGCAAAATCGCCCGGTGCTATTTTATGGCAAGGAAAATTAAAGGCCTTCTCCCCCCTCTCCTTTCTTGCACCACCCTGCATCACCTCTAACTTCCAACTTCTAATTGCAAGATAGATTTCAGCCTCGGTGGGGATCAGGAAGATCTAAACATTTTAACTAAGATTATTGGGATAAATATTTCATAAAGAGCAAGGCAGATATTAAATTACTCCTATTGATTTTAGTATCACAACCCAATTCCGTTCCTTGGCCTCTCCGGTTTAATTGATCTCTTAAGGAGGCCGACCTCGCACCCGCAGAAGGCCTGGGCCTTGGAAGGGGGCGGCCGGGGCAAGGGGTTCGGCCCCCGCGCGCCCTCTACGCGCCCTCTTCTCGGGGTTCCCAGCGCCTCGCATCGTCGCTGCGGGGCTGGATTCATCCGATGTGTCCCCCACAAAGTGCCGGGGTGCTCCCGGCTCCGTCGGGCCCAAGGCGGTGGCCGAGCCCCCACGCACGGACAGGGGGTTAGGGAGCAACTGTGAGCGCCCCGGCGACGGAGGAGAGAGCAAGTGCCCGCGCCTCTCGGGGAGAGCCCTAACTTCGGGGTTCCCGTCTGTCTTAACCTCCGAGAAAACCCGGGGCCGGCTAACTTGGGCGCCGCCGGCGGAGAGCGCGGGGCTCCGCCGAATTCGGCGCCGGCGGCGCCCGCGACGCTCAGCGACTTCCCGCGGCGAGTCCAGGGGCTTTGACTGGCGACCCCATTGTCTGAGCGCCCCGCACCGCTCGCCGCCCACCTCCCCGCCCCCTGCCCACCCGCGGGGCTCCTCCAGTTGGGGGTGGGGAGTTGGGAACAGTGTGAATGGGAAGGGGGTGAACAAAGCCAAGCTCCCGCCATTGCCCTCCACTGGCGCCCTCCGTGGCCCGGTGCGCCCGAGGCCGGGGCGCGCCCCAGCACACCGACGCCGGACCCCGAGGCAGTGCGGGCGCTGGGGACCCCAGGGCCGGGATGGTCGGGTTCGCGGCTGGGGCCTCGGCAGCCAGGACCCGGGACCACCTTAAGAGCGAGCCCCGCCCCGGGCCCGGAGCTTGGGCGGCGCTGATTGGTGCAAGGGTAATGGCTGAAATTGATTGCTGAAATGCAAAACTTGTTGCTGCTTCTCCCGGCGCTGGGCGAGAGGCAGACACAGAGAGGGGAGCCGAGACCCTCGGAACGCCCCACGCAGAGCCCCCCCGCCAGGCGCGAGAGGGGCGCGCAGACCCCCCAGAGCTGCCCCCGCCCCCCACTCCAGGCTCCGGGAGCGCGGCCGGAACGCCTTCGCCCTCGCCCGGCGCGGCCCCGACCCGCGGACGCCCCCTCCCCGGCCGGGGGGGCTCGGGAGCACCTCGGCGCGGAGGCAGGGATCCGGAGCCTTGGAGCGACCCAGCCCTCTCCTCGCCGCCCTCCCGCGCCGGCGACGGTGCGCAGAGACCCGAGCGAACTCCGAGACCGCACGGCGGAGGCAGAGCGGCCGGCGGCGGACGTGGCCGCGCAGCGCACCCGCCGCGGAGCAGGGAGCCGCGCCTTCCCCGACCCTCCGCTGCAACCCGGCGCCGGCCGCCTCCCGGCCCCTCTGCGTCCTCCGCTGGGGCCGGCGCTCGCGATGCCGATTGGAGCCTCCAGTCTTCCGGCCCGCTGAAGACGCAGCAGCCGGTCGCCCGGAGCCGGCGGGGACTGCCAGCGGATCGTGCTCGGTGGACGCCTGGGCTGCGGAGCGCTGGGACTCCGGGGGCAGGGGGGAGGGACCCCTCTGTCGGTGCCCGGAGCCAGCCGCGGCTCGAAGGGTCTCTCTCCCCTGCCCTTAGCTCCGCCACGGACTCCGGGAGGCTGCGGGTGGCGTCCTGGGCTCCCCAGCCGACCGATCGGACTTAAGAAGGTGATCGCTCTGCTCTCCCACCCCCTTCCCTCCCCCTTCTCCCCCACTCAACTTTTTGTTTCTGTTCACCCGCGGCTCGGCCCCCTCCCCGCAGACCCACCCGCGGCTGTGCCAACTGCCCGGGGCATGGGTCCCCCAACACGGCTTTTGGAGGCCCCGCGGCCTCGCAAGATATGAGCGGCCCGCCCGGGGCAGAGCCGGAGCTCCAGGAGCGGAGCCGATAGCCCCAGCCTCCCCACGCCAGGCGGGGAGCGGTGCGCGCTGCGCCCCCGCGGTGCTGAGCGTCCCGGAGCGCCCCATCCAGGGCTGGAACGAGTAGCTGGCCGGAGGCGCGCCGCGGAGAGCAAGCTGTCATGCCCTATTGATCCCCCCTGCCCCCCGCCAAGTATGTTTGGGCTGGACCAATTCGAGCCCCAGATCAACAGCAGGAACGCTGGCCAGGGCGAGAGGAACTTTAACGAGACCGGACTGAGCATGAACACCCATTTTAAGGCTCCAGCTTTCCACACAGGGCCACCCCCTGGCCCCGTGGACCCTGCCATGAGTGCTCTGGGCGAGCCCCCGATCTTGGGCATGAACATGGAGCCATACGGCTTCCCCGCGCGCGGTCACTCGGAGTTGCACGCAGGGGGGCTGCAGGCGCAGCCCGTGCACGGCTTCTTTGGCGGCCAGCAGCCTCATCACGGCCACCCGGGGAGCCACCATCCCCACCAGCATCACCCCCACTTTGGGGGCAACTTTGGTGGCCCGGACCCGGGGGCCTCGTGCCTGCACGGGGGTCGCCTGCTCGGCTATGGCGGCGCAGCCGGCGGCCTGGGCAGCCAGCCGCCCTTCGCCGAGGGTTACGAGCACATGGCGGAGAGCCAGGGGCCAGAGAGCTTCGGCCCGCAGCGCCCGGGAAACCTCCCGGACTTCCACAGTTCGGGAGCCTCCGGCCACGCCGTGCCTGCCCCGTGCCTGCCGCTGGACCAGAGCCCTAACCGAGCGGCCTCCTTCCACGGCCTGCCCTCCTCCAGCGGCTCCGATTCGCACAGTCTGGAGCCCCGGAGGGTGGCGAACCAAGGAGCCGTCGACTCGCTGGAATACAATTACCCCGGCGAGGCGCCCTCGGGACATTTTGACATGTTTTCGCCTTCTGACTCCGAAGGGCAGTTGCCTCATTATGCAGCCGGTCGCCAGGTTCCCGGGGGCGCTTTCCCGGGCGCCTCGGCCATGCCCAGAGCCGCGGGCATGGTGGGCTTGTCCAAGATGCACGCCCAGCAGCCGCAGCCGCAGCCGCAGCCGCCGCAACAGCAGCCGCAGCCGCCGCAGCAGCAGCACGGCGTGTTCTTTGAGAGGTTCGGCGGGGCCCGCAAGATGCCTGTGGGTCTGGAGCCCGCAGTGGGCGCCAGGCACCCGTTAATGCAGCCTCCGCAGCAGGCCCCGCCGCCCCCTCAGCCACAGCCCCCGCCGCAGTCGCAGCAGCCGCCGCCGCCGGGGCTTCTAGTCCGGCAAAATTCGTGCCCGCCCGCGCTCCCGCGGCCCCAGCAGGGCGAGGCGGGCACGCCCAGCGGCGGCCTGCAGGACGGAGGCCCCATGCTGCCCAGCCAGCACGCGCAGTTCGAATACCCCATCCACCGGCTGGAGAACCGGAGCATGCACCCTTACTCCGAGCCGGTTTTCAACGTGCAGCAGGCTCCACAGCAGGCGCCCAACCAGCGGCTGCAGCATTTCGACGCGCCCCCCTACATGAACGTGGCCAAGAGACCGCGCTTCGACTTCCCGGGCGGCGCGGGAGTGGACCGCTGCGCCTCGTGGAACGGCAGCGTGCACAACGGCGCTCTGGACAACCACCTCTCGCCCTCCGCCTACCCGGGCCTGCCCGGCGAGTTCACGCCGCCCGTGCCCGACAGCTTCCCCTCGGGGCCGCCCCTGCAGCACCCCGGCCCGGACCACCAGTCCCTGCAGCAGCAGCAGCAGCAGCAGCAACAGCAGCAGCAGCAGCAGCAGCAGCAGCGCCAAAACGCAGCCCTCATGATTAAACAGATGGCGTCGCGGAATCAGCAGCAGCGGCTGCGCCAGCCCAACCTAGCCCAGCTAGGCCACCCCGGGGACGTGGGCCAGGGCGGCCTGGTGCATGGCGGCCCGGTAGGCGGCTTGGCGCAGCCGAACTTCGAGCGCGAAGGCGGCAGCGCGGGCGCGGGGCGCCTGGGCACCTTTGAGCAGCAGGCGCCGCACTTGGCGCAGGAGAGCGCGTGGTTCCCGGGTCCGCACCCGCCGCCCGGAGACCTGCTGCCGCGCAGGATGGGCGGCTCGGGCCTGCCTGCTGACTGCGGGCCGCACGACCCCAGCCTGGCGCCGCCCCCTCCGCCTGGCGGCTCTGGGGTGCTGTACCGGGGCCCTCTGCCGGAGCCGCTGAGGATGCCCGGGGAGGGCCACGTGCCCGCGCTGCCTTCGCCCGGCCTGCAGTTCGGGGGCAGCCTGGCCGGCCTGGGCCAGCTGCAGTCGCCCGGGGCCGGGGTGGGGCTGCCCAGTGCTCCCCCGGAGCGCCGGCCTCCGCCGCCGGACTTCGCCGCGCCCGCACTGGGGGGCCAGCCCGGCTTTCCGTTTGGCGCGGCGAGCCGGCAGGCCACGCCACACAGCGGTCCAGGCGTGAACTCACCCCCCAGCGCGGGCGGGGGCGGGGGCGGCTCGGGCGCCGGCGGGGGCGGCGGGGGTGCGTACCCGCCGCAGCCTGATTTCCAGCCCAGCCAGCGCACCTCGGCCAGTAAGCTGGGCGCGCTGTCGCTGGGCTCCTTCAATAAGCCCAGCTCCAAGGACAACCTGTTCGGCCAGAGTTGCCTGGCTGCGCTCTCCACCGCTTGCCAGAACATGATCGCCAGCCTGGGGGCCCCCAACCTCAACGTGACCTTCAACAAGAAGAACCCGCCCGAGGGCAAGAGGAAACTGAGCCAGAATGAGACGGACGGCGCGGCCGTGGCGGGTAACCCGGGCTCGGATTACTTCCCGGGAGGGACTGCTCCGGGGGCCCCGGGACCCGGAGGCCCGTCGGGGACTAGTAGCGGCGGCTCCAAAGCCTCGGGGCCGCCCAACACGCCCGCCCAGGGGGACGGCACCAGTCTCTCCCCCAACTACAACCTAGAGTCGACGGCGGGGAATGACGGCAAGCCAGTTCCCGGGGGTGGGGGCCGGGGCCGGGGCCGCAGAAAAAGGGACAGCGGCCACGTGAGCCCCGGGACCTTCTTTGACAAGTACTCGGCAGCCCCGGACAGCGGGGGCGCCCCTGGGGTGAGCCCGGGGCAGCAGCCGGCGTCGGGCGCCGCGGGCGGGGGGAGCTCCGCGGGGGAGGCTCGCCGGGCCACGACCCCCCACGAGAAGGCGCTCACGTCGCCGTCCTGGGGGAAGGGCGCCGAGCTGCTCCTGGGCGACCAGCCGGACCTCATGGCGTCCCTGGACAGCGCGGCCAAGTCGGACGGGAGTTCGCCGCACGTGGGCGAGTTTGCCTCGGACGAGGTGAGCACGAGCTACGCCAACGAGGACGAGGTGTCGTCCAGCTCCGACAACGCCCCCGCCCTGGCCAAAGCGAGCAGGAGCCCCCTGGTGACCGGCTCACCCAAACTCCCTCCGCGTGGGGTAGGCGCGGGGGAGCACGGCCCGAAGGCGCCCCCGCCCGCGCTCGGCCTGGGCATCCTGTCTACCTCCGCCTCGACCCCCGACAGCTACGGGGGCGCGGGCCACCCGGGCACGCCCGGCCTGGAGCAGGTCCGGACCCCGACGAGCAGCGGGGCGCCGCCCGACGAGATCCACCCGCTGGAGATCCTGCAGGCGCAGATCCAGCTGCAGAGGCAGCAGTTCAGCATCTCCGAGGACCAGCCCCTGGGGCTCAAGGGCGGCAAGAAGGGGGAGTGCGCCGTGGCCGTCGGGGCCCCGGGCGCGCAGAACGGCGACGGCGAGCTGGGCAGCTGCTGCGCCGACGCTGTCAAGAGCGCCATGAGCACCATCGACCTGGACTCGCTGATGGCCGAGCACGGCGCGGCCTGGTACGTGCCCCCCGACAAGGCCCTGGTGGGGGGCGCAGACGACGACAAGACGCTGGCGCCCTGGGAGAAGGCCAAACCCCAGAACCCCAACAACAAAGAAGGTATATGTGCACTCGTTCCCTTCTCGCCGCCCTGGTGACCCGCCCCGTCCCAGTGCAGGCCTCAGCCTCCGCCCCTGGACTCCCTTGGGCTTGGGGACCCAGGTCTTCCTCATCTCCAGCTCAGAGCTGGGCGCCCTCCTTTGGTTACACCGAGGGCTGTGGGGACAGACCCCCAGCCGCTGCCAGGTGGATTCTAGTGCCACGGGGTGGTGAGACCTACTGGGCGGGCAGCCCTTTGGGGATCTTGCAGTTACCTGCCCCCCCACCCCACCCCCCCAGTTCCAGCTGAGTTGCTCACAGAACCAGCCCCTCCCCTGCACGCTGAGCCCTCCCCCCTCAGGTTGGTTCCGCTTTTGAGGAGCCCTGGGCCCCCTTTCCTGGCAGGACACCTGAGAAGTTGTGTGAGTGCCTTCCCACCTTTTCCCTGTCCCCGCCAGCCCCCAGCGCCGGCTCTGTAAGGGGGCAGCATCTCTAGCAGAAAAGTTCCCAGCCTCAGTGCTGGTGCACCACTTGGAGGCAACGCCTAATTTGACATTTGTTCCTAATGAATAGCTGTTTTGTCTCTTCCTAACTGTTAGAGTTTCGCTGAAAACGTGGAGACCTGTGGGGGTTCAGGAGGCAGGGCACCTTTTCAGGGTGTTACCTCCTTGACATTTGGTGGGGCTGGGGGGCTGGGTGGAGCTCGCCTGGCAGAGCCCAGACCAGGCATCAGGGCGTCATTTGCGTTTGGGGATATGGATATATAGTCTTAAGACACAAAGGACCCGCGTTTGTCAATATCTCCCTTGGCTTTGGTGACAGATGTCCAGTCCCAGCTCTCTTTTGCATTCTAAGCACCCCTCCCCACCATGCCCCAGGCCTTTAAGGTGGGAGGGGTGGGGTTAGTAAACGGTTTGCCATTCCAGTTAAACTGATAACACTTCTTTTTCTCCTAAAGATGTCTAGGCTGCAGTAGATACCAGTTTATTTTAATGAAGCTTTTTTATTTTTTTTAAAAAAAACCCTATATATGGCCAATGGCTCCTAAAAATCAGGTAGCATCATTTTTTTTTTCTTCCTACCTTTTCCTTCTAAATCCTGGTTGAATTCCCCTTGTTTCACCAGGCAGAGTATTATCCTGGAGCCAGTGGCTGGCAATTTAACCCTGTCTTTTTAAAAATGTGCCTCCTGATTCTTGCCCTCGCTCATGCTCTTTCCTCCTCTGCCTTCTCTTTCCGGGCCCTCCCCATGTCCTGCCATCTCTGGAGCCTGGGTTTCAGGTGAGGGGAGGTTTTAGCATGGGAGGGGGGCGGGGAGAGGCAGGAGCCAGGGGAAGCGGAGCAGGGCGGGAGTTAGGTAGTTCAGAACTCAGGGCTTGCAAGGCGCCCTCCCCAGTAGTTCTTCCCGCTTAGGGTTTCTAATTCATGAATGCGGCCGCTCTGCCTTTCTCTTTGTTCCGCGGCTACTGCCCAGCCCGGCCGGGCCGCGCTCACTCATTTGAAGCCGGGTGTTTAGCATGCACGGCAGACGCCGCCACTGGCATCAGCATTCTGCAGCCTTCTCCCAGGCACGGCCGTAAATTGGTTAGTTTGGGACCCTCAGCTTCTTCTCCTCCCCCCCCTTTTTTTTTCTTCTTTTAAAAATGGAGCTGGACACAGCATCCTGCTTGCTAAAAACCCCCCACCCCCGCCCCCTTTTATTTTCTTGTACACAACATCTCGATCTGGCCGGATGGATAGCTGGTTAGCACAGGTCTCAGCCCCTGTCACTTCTACCTGGCCTGGCCCGACCACCCCTCCCCCGTCTCCCCCTCACCCCCCAGTAATTAAGAGCATATTGGCTAAAATGGGGTGAGAAAAGTTAGGGGAAAAAAAAAACCCAAACAAACCTGATTTAGAGAATGAATAAAGAAAAAGCAGTAGCACTTCTCCTTTGAGTCTTTCCAAGGGCCTTGGTAGACTAGATGGAGGGGTGTAGGGCGGTTTTAATGAGATTTTGTTTTTTTTTCTAAGTGTCCTCTCCCCATCCCCTTCCAAGTCACTCCTTTGGGGCGGGAAAGATGCCGGCTGTGAATGAAGAAATGTCAGTAAAGAAATGTTTTGTTTGTTTTATTGTCACTGTCAGAGGAGCGAGAATATTTTTTTGGAAACAGATGCTAGTCACTTTGGGGTTGATTTCCCCTGTAAGGTAAACGAGGCCCTCCCCTGCCCTGGGGAGGGCAGAGACTTCCTTCAGGGGCCAGCGGGGGACTGGCTACCTTGTAAGCATTGGCAGGGACACCCACTTGACCTCCTTTGTTTTCTACTCTGTGAGGTGGGAAGGACAGTTTCCTCGATAAAGCACTGAATTGAGGTCACTGGAAGCTTCCGCAGCCTTGGGATTGCTAGGTGAGGCTTTATAAGATATCTGCATCCGATGCCTGCTCCCTTGCTGCCAGTAAATAAGGTTGATTAAACTTTTCATTATGATAACACCCCGCAGTTCCATCTGCACACGTTGTATAAATAGGTACACAGAGCTTACTACAGGCCCCTGAGTGCCCTAGCTGAAAATCAGTCTGAAGTGTGCCACTTCAAAATACAGTCAGAAAAAATAAAAAAATAAAAAAACCATGGAAAGCAAAACCTGCTTTTCCTTAAAAGTCATGCCCATGGTCCCCTCAGCCATGAGCAGTGGTGACCCATGGCCTTGAATATACCTTCTCCACGTTCCAGCCCGGGCAAGCACTTTTTTTTTTTTTTTCCACCCACCCCCTCCCCCCTTCCAGGCAGAGCCCATTTTTGTAATGATATTTTATTTTGTCACGCCGTAAAACACGCCAGTACTAATGTGATTAAATATTAACACCGTTTCTGAAATTCTTCGCTCCAATGACAAAATACTCGTCGGTATTTAACAAAATGATCTGTGCTTGGATTGGAGGGAACGAATAAGTCTCCAGAACGGCACAAGGCGTGAGGCCACCGGGACGTGCCCAGAGTGTCTTATGGGCTGTAAGATGTCCTTGGCGGGGAGGGAGCGTCACTCTGGAGTCGCTCGCAGTTCCCACAAAGTCTAGCCTGGAATCACATGTGATTACGGTGTTTTTTTTTTTAAACCAGGAAAGCTAACCTCTCCAAATTATGCCTCCCTTGACTTTCTTAATCAACCCACCAAACAACTTTTGTATAATGAAACCCTGCATCTGATCATGATGCTCTTTTTGCACAAAGTTGGGATGGGGGAAGGGTGAGGTTATGGAAGAGAGAGAGAGAGAGAGAGGAAAAAAAAAAACAAAACAAAACACCCAGCCTAACTTTGGGCCTATTTAGACATCTCTTAAATCAGGGAGGATTACGTAAACCTAAAAATAGTTTGCGAAATCATCCACCTATCTTCGTAATAGGTGTGTGGTCATGGAAGAATTGCAAAACCGAGAGAGAAGGAGAAATAGTGATAGAGTGCAGATAATAAATAGTAAGTTGGGAAAAGTATGTTTTCCCTCCTCCTGCCCCTGGCGATTTTCAAAAGTTGAATTAACCGTGCTGTGTAGTAAGTTTCTGCTCGCCACACTTGCTTTCCCTGGGTAGCTCTGTGTCTTGAACACCAGGACCGTCTGGAAATGCCCTCTCACACACACCGGAATGGGGGCGGCCTCAGCATACGCTCTGCACTCAATCCTGCCCTTTTTGGAAGTCTGATATTTTTACAGTGATGTGGAAGAAATTTTTGGAATTTCATGCTTGTCTCAGTGTTCCAGTCGGAACCCAGGGAGCAGCACTGAGAAATACTAGGCTGGCAGGATCCGAACGTTGAAGTTCTTTAGACGTGGGGCAGATGTGGGCAGGGGTGGCCCCGGGTAGGTAGGTCCTGGCCTCAGAGCAAAGCCCTGTTGTGTGAGTCCTTTCCCCTCCTCCCCATACCATGGAGAGAATTTTTAAAGCTCACTCAAACTTGTTTGGGGAAGGCAAGGAGCCCTGCAGTCCTGTTTCCCTGCGAGAAATCACCCAGCAAGGCTTGCATGCCTTCATGTGACTTTTCTGCCTCCGGAAGATGTAACCCAAAACTTTGCAGGTGTTAATCAGGGGTAATGTAAACAGATAGGGCCCCTTTGTGCGGCTGAAGTTGGGGCCTGCCTGCTCCCCCCTAGACCACGACATACAACTACTGTTCTTTGCTGCTTGTTCAATATTTCATGGCTATAATAAACCTGTCTTCTTAGCCCGCCTCCCGACATAAAACTCCAACCTAGCACACATCTGCAATTATACATTTCTACTAAATATTAATAAAGGACAAGGATGTTTTAAGGGGCTGAAGCTTAGCGGTGTTGAACTTGTCATGGTTTCTGTCACTGGAGTTTCCTGGCTGTTTTGATTTTAAATAGCCGTTGCCTTCTGCTGGGCAATATATACTTCTATATCCACATGTATAAATATGTACAGTTTTTGTAGATTGAAGGGCTTTCCTCAGGTATAGCTTTTCCTTAATATAAATTCATTTAGATTTCTTGCGAGGCCCCTTTAGACCGGAAATAAGAGACTGTTGAAATGTACTTCTATTTTATTGAGGTTTCTAGGAAAGGAGTGAGGGTTGGTTAATCTAATTTCTCTTTCTAGCAATGAAATTCTATGATTCCTGATATGATTTTGTTTGCCTGACAGAGGTATTTAAATTTCCACAAAGAATCTTAATAGGTTTTGAAAATACGGCTGCTCTGGCCAAGAAGTTACTGATACCCTCTGTTGATATAAAATATACATCTTTAATAAACAGTCTGGGAAGACCAGGTGAAATTAGAGGAGGAAAATTCTTCCCACTGTGGAAGGACCCACTTGAGGGCATCGCTGGGATTTCACGGGATCTCCTAAAGCCACTCTGTGCTGGGAAATTTAGTACGATCACTTGTGACCTGTTTGCCTCCACTTGAGTGACAATGACGTCGGATCCTGTTCTGTGCCCAGGGAGCGATCAGCTTTGCCGAGAGCATTTAGACAATAAATACTCTTGGTGAGGAATACTGTATTTACCTCTGTTTGGTT